ATAGCAAACACTGAAATACATTTTTTGCACGCAGCAATGAGTTTTGTTCACTCAAATTTAGCTTTTCAGAATAGTGGCACAAAAATAACGCCATACAATTTGAGCCCATACTGAAGCCTTGAGATGAACAATTGTGAAGCCAGACATAATCTTCCTTTCTATTATAGTATAACCAAAATTTACACAATAGACTTTTTGTTTTTATCCAACTTAACCAAAAATGAGTTAGCGAAACCATAGACCCAGCAGGGAGGTATTTAAAGAGATCAGAGCAGAGAGCTATTTTTTCATAGACTTCTATAAAAAAACGCAAAGCGTTTTGCAACCACAGATCTGGCCCCCTGGTGGCCATTAAGGAGAATCCAGGTTTAAGACCTTTCAACGTTGGTTTCACTTTTTCAGATGTGGAAATTGCATCCATCTTTTATACCGTCTGTTGTCAGCAGTTCCTACACACATCACCAACAGGCTCAGCTGTTACTCAACATTACAAACAAAATTTTGGAACTAACCATTGCAAGGTGAAAAGGATCAAATGGTGAACTTTGGATAGCTGTAAAAAAAAAAGGAGCAGCTAAATGTTTGATGGATGAATAGCAAATGGATGGATGAATAGCAAAGCTAATACGTTCACTGTATTATTGCAGCGTCTTTACCTTACAATATAAAGTGCACTGAGGTGACGGTTGTTGTGATTTGGCATTGTATAAATAAAACTGAATTGAATTGAATTCAATATAGGTTTAAAGTTAGTTCAAATACACATTCGATTATTGTGTGGATGCCCTCAGTTTTCAGCCGATTTTCTCCGTTCAAATCTTTAAAATTTCTGCTCTTTCTGCTGTCAGTGAGATGAGCATCCGTTCTCAGACTGGGAGGCCCGGGTTCAAATCCAGTCAACATTTCTTTCAGTTAACAGTTAGACTTTTTTAACTCTTTTCAGCACAAATACCAGCTTTTTCAGCTGTTTTCAGCAAAAACCTCTTTTCAGCAGAATTCTGCTGATTGAACTCTTTTCAGCAAAATTTTCAGTTTTTTCTGCTGTTTTCAGAAAAAACTCTTTTCAGCAGAAATTCTGCTGATTGAACTCTTTTCAGCAGAATTTTCACCTCTTTTCTGCCAAAATCCTGCTTATTCACCTCTTCTGAAAAATTTTCCAGCCTTTTCACCGCTTATCAGCACAATTCTCAGCAGCTTCTGCTCATTTCAGCACAATTGTCAGTCTCTCCACCGCTTCTTTGTGAGAATCAGTTTGGCTCAGTGAGATGAGTTGCCGCGATGAGACCAGAAGGGCCAGGTTCAAATCCTGCTCAGGGCAATGTTTTTTTGTTTTGTTTTTTGTTTTGTTTTTTTATTTCAACTTTTTCAGCTTTTTTCAGCAGACATCTTACGCGTTAAGGCATCCGCACAGCATTTTCGCAGGAAATGCAAATTTTTCTAGTTTGAGGTTACTTTTGTTCTTGAGTTGATTAACTTCAAATGAAAAAAGTTGGTACTGATGCTTTTAAAATGTTTTAAATCGGCCTGAATGTATTTCTGTTTTCATTTGTCATGTCTAACTGATAAACTTAGATGTTTGTTTACTTGTGGGAGGCTGTCCACAGCTACATACAATGG